ATGTGAGTGAAAGGAACGACATCGAAGAGCTTCGTCAGCAGCGGCTCGTCGTTTAGGTCGCCCTCCACGACGAAAACCTCGTGCCTCTTCAGCAGGGCCTGACGGGCCCGCTTCAACGACGGGTCGTAGTAGGAGTTGAAGTTGTCGAGGCCCAGAACTCCGTCTCCCCGCTTCTTCAGGGCGAGGGAGCAGTGGGTCCCGACAAACCCGGCAGCACCTGTTACCAGAATAGACATACCGTTGGGCCGCTTGGGAGTGGACGAATGACGCACCTGCTTCTCCCAGGCGGTCCCGCCCACTCCTCCGCCGTAAAAAGCAGAGGAGAGGAAATTGTGGGTGGTGTGGACGTGGTGTGCCCCGCCGCCCATATGGTCGGAGAGCGGAGGGTAATTGATGGTGAAGAAAAAGATGAGGACGAGGGCGACGAGGAGGGTGGCTCGGAAGAGGAGCTTGGAGGAGGCGTTGAGGAGCTTGGTGCTGTTGACTCTGCGGAGGTAGCTGTTGTAGCGCTCCAGCTTTATGGTCTTGCTTGTATCTGGAGGAGACGCCATTGCCGCAAATATTCCAATATATCAAATCAAAATTATATACCAAATATACCAATTTTCTGTGTTATAAAAACACAAGTGCTTCTTGCGTTTGAGAGAGCAGACAGATACAAAACAAAGGGACTCAGAGCTTGAACTGCGAATGAGCCCTGAATTTGTGAAGAGTGTGGAAAGATTAATATAAAGATGAGATAGAGGAAGAGAGAGAGAGGGGTTGGTGTTGGTTGGAGACCACTTTCTTATCTTTTCTTAATTACTCGTTTACAGATAGAAAGCGAGAGCTGCTGAATTAGACAACGAGATGGACCCTCGTTATTACAATTATTACGTAAACGCCACTTGATTACGGAAATTGAAAAATTGAAAAATTGAAAATGCCAGCTATCTTTAATTGTACGAAAAAAAACCCTAGACCATGTGATCCACGCGTTTCCAGGTTTGAACACTTTGATATGTCTCTGTGAGATGAGTGTAGTGTTTCAAAGTAGGGAAATCAAATTAATTAAGCCAGAATTTAATTATGTTTGAACAAATAATTAAATTAAATTAATTTGGAAATAGTGGAAAATGCATTCCCCTCGAAATGAGAGAAACTCTCATGTAATGGGAATAACACTTTTTGCTATCCCCGACCAATAACGCAGTGACACGTAGAATAATTTTTCCATTCACCGTTATAGGTAAGTTTGTTTCCCTCGAAACACCTCCTCCTTCACTTCACCCCTCGTTAATTAATTAGTTTCGAGATCAAGGAAGGAGTGCTAATTATGGAAAGAGTATTATTAGAATAATCACGTGGATGTGTCTCCATGATTAAATAATTTAATTTCTTTTATAAGGTCAATGGGATCAAAGTAATTCTATGGTTTAATCCCAGTTTTCCCAATCCATGTCTCAGCCAAAGGAGAAAGAAATCAAATATGAAAAAGGCTGATTGGGACGTTTGTTATCGGTCAAACTATTATGAGAGAAACATTGTACACACTCGTTTTGTGTTAATAATCTTTGACGGTAATCTTATTTTAACAGTAAAACTATTTTCAGGAATTAACGTTGGATTTTTGTGTGCTGTAATATTCAGTATTTACCATGGAAGTCGAAGCCAACAAGAGATGACAAAAGATGGGGGAAACGAGTCCTAGTCGGTGGTCTCAATTATAATCAAGTCGTGGCTTTTTCTATTGCTGAGCTGGAATCAAGTCTCTATTCAATTTACAAAGGATATGCGACACTTGCCCAGCATCTTCGCTTATACGTTTTCCTCCATGTAGGATAGGACTGATGGGAAGAGGAGAAACCAATGGCATGGAAATTAATGCATGAAATGAAAGTGATAAAAAAATCCAAATAAATACTGGGAGGGGATTTTAATATTTATTGTTGTCAAAAATAATGGGAGAGTGATATGGAAAATGAGTTTGGGCAATTCCCTAATAACCCTTTTTTTAAGTACCGTTTAAGGAATCTTAGTCTCATGATCAAATTGCAGGACCATTGATTACTCATGTGATCTCAAGATTGAGATGTCTCAATCATGAATTGAGTACTCATTTCAAATGTAATCTCTGATTTTAATCTTATTTTCTAATAGCTATCATGTCGGAAGATATTTAAATTGTTATGTGGATCTTTAGTTTTCGCCTAATTAAGTTTTTTTTTTTTTTTTTGGTAATGAAAGACAACATTTTATTTTTTTTATTTTTGATAAACCATCAAGTTTCATCCACAAAGGGCCAAATACAAGAAGGCCAAATCAAATTGACCATTCTTGTGATGTGATTACACCGTCGTTTTAAGATGCCCATATGGTGAAAAAATTGTATTCTTGGGGTCGTTTGCTACACATGACTGTCTTGGTATGGACTATACTTAGGAACTGTCTTGGCTTGGCTTGCGTTAGTCTAAATTGGATAACACTTATCCTGCATTTGGTGTATGCTTGGATTAGGAATAGGACTAGGACTATATTTTTTTTATTTTTCAAAGTGTGTATATATATATATATTATAATATAAAATATATGGGTATATTATAATAATAATAATATTATATGTTATTATTATTACAATATAATATATGGATGTTATACATTGGTGAGCATAGAACTAGTTAATCCTTTCCTTCCACATGGGTTTATTAGTCCCCTCATAAGGAGGTGTTTTTGGTGGGCTTGGTATTAGTAATCCCATTTAAGACTATGATTAGATTAAACAAACATGGGTCGTTTGGTATGGCGGACTGTCATGGACTGGACTAAATCCTGAGACTGTCTTGGATTAGCTCATATTGGCTTAAGTTGGATTAAGTACTAGCCTGCGTTTGTTAATGCGTCGGACTAAGAAGTTGGATTGTAAAAAATAGTAAAGACCTATGTTTGGTGCTGTGTTGGACTAAAAAAATTATTTAAATATTTAAAATAATTAGGGATTTTGACCTAAAACTAAATAAATATTGCAAAGAAACCAGCGAGAAATGTATATATCAAATAATTTTTTTTAATGTTTTTTAAAGGCTAAAACTATCTTTATCTTATATCTCTTTTCTTTTTTCTCTTTTTTTTTCTTTCTTCCTTTTCTCTCCTTTCTCTTTTCTTCTTCCTTCCCACACCCCATTTCTTTTTTCTTTTTTCTTTTTTCTTTTTTCTCTCTCCCTCTCGATCTCACTCTGTAGTTCTCTCTCTTTTTTTCTCCAATATTGACACAATGATATCCCTCTCCTTCTCTCTCATTTTCTATCTCCCCCTCCCAAACCTTTCTTTGCTTCCCTCTCATTTTTCTCTCTTCTTCCCCCTTTTTTTGGTACAGAAAGGGGGGGGGGGGGTGTTTAAACGCCCCAAAACAGAAACAATTAAATAGGAACAAGAGGAGGTCTGGCAGCACCTCGAGCATCAACATCTAAATGGCTCTAAGGAAGGAGGAGTTTCTTCAAAAACATGGAGGCCATGATTAAACTCATGACTTTTGGCAGCCAAGGTCTCTTATTCTCCTTTGAAGTCAGAGATCTTCATCTCCTTCGAAGTCACAAATCTCCATTTGGTTTCACTGAGCCATGGTTAGGTTTTGTTGAAGAATATGAGTCCCACATCGGAAACTTTACTAGATAAAATACAAAATATAATAAATGGTTACACTACTAATATAACCGATGCCTTTTGTAATAAAACCTCACACTTACTGGGCTTTGTAGGTGGTTAAGTTGGGGACAATATCGGTGTTGTTAGTAGCGGGCCGCTGACTCGTATTTAACATGGTATGAAAGCAGGTTGATTGACTGGGCCTGAATTGGGCCTTTACCCTTACCCAATATGTGGTGTTCACATGTTAGGCTTGAATGTTTACCCCTACCTCTTACCCAATACGTGGTGTTCACGTGTTGGGTTTAAATAATTGACTTTGATGTGGACTTGGCTCCACGTGTAGCCCACTATGTAGTGGTCCCACATGAAGGGGCGTGTTGAAGAATACAAGTCCCACATTGGAAAATGACTAAATAAAATACAATATGTAATGAATGGTTCCATTACTAATATCACTGAGGCTTTTGTGATAAAACCACACACCTACTGGGCTTTGTAGGTGGTTAAGTTGGGGACAATATTGGCGTTGTTAGTAGTGGGCCAATGACCCGTTTCTCTGAAATTTAACATGGTATGATTTATTGTGTGGGCCTAAATTACTGGGCCTTTACCCTTATCCCTTACCCAACATGTGGTGTTCACATGTTGGGCTTGAATGTTTTACCCTTACTGTCACATCCCGGATCGGCTCCGCCCAAGATATTGTCCGCTTTAGGGCCCCCTCTCTGCCTTCACGATTTTGTTTCTGGGAACTCACGAGAAACTTCGCAGTGGGTCACCCATCATGGGATTGCTCTAGCCCAAACTGGCTTAACTTCGAAGTTCCTATGAATCCGAAGCTAATGAGCTCCCAAAAGGCCCCGTGCTAGATGGAGGTAGGCATGTACATATAAGGCACATCACTCTCTCTCTGTTGGTCGATGTAGGATGTTACAATCCACCCCCTTAGGGGCTCGACGTCCTCGTCGGCATACTCGCACTACATGGCAGAGTGGCTCTGATATCAAATTGACAGGACCCGACCCAAATTCCACTTTGGAATATGCGCTGAACCTTGTGTGTGTCTGACACTTGGCAGGTGCCGAGAACACTTGATCAAATTGCCCTTCTAACGAAATCCAAAGTTTCTTTAGAGTTTGACTTCTACCGAAAATTCGACAGAGTAAATGTTCGTTTCCCAAAATTTTACACCTATACGAAAAAGCAATTTATAGCCACAATCGTTCAGCGTGCATAATGTTAGAATTCATGCAACCAAACAACAGAACTTTATGGCTTCGGCCTTACAAAAATCCTAGGGCAATTTCAGAGCAATACTAATCTATTTAATTACAAAACAAGCACGACTACGTGAGAATATCCTACATAGTGGAAAGAGGATGAAAAGTGATGATAATCGCTCGGTGGTGATGCTCTGGTACACTTCTACTGGTTGGGGGCGCAAAACATTTAAAAGTGTGAGTGGACAAAATAAAGTTTTAGGAAAATAGAATATTAACATACTAACCCCACTGTTAAAACTATTTGAAAATTCAATTATATCCATGTTCTATATTCGTACAAGAATGAAGACATGCCATATGTATATTCATATTATTAATCATGCATTCAATCAAATCATCAAAATCAATTGAAAGCATTGAAATGAAATAATTTCCTTCCAACTAGGTGTACCCATAATAAATTCGTCAATTCCATGATTATCTATTTAATTCAAACATTATACCGTCAATTCCTTGTGTAGCATAGTGTAACACATCCTCGCAAGCCTCGGTAACATAAAGTCGACCCGAGCCGCATTCCTCGCAAGACTCAGGAGATACTTGGTCAACCTGAGCCGCATCCTCGCTCATCACGGTCCGGATATCCCTAAGACTCGTGAGGCAAATTTCAAATGCGCTGACTCAAACGAAGGCAACTAGGATGTCCGTGGACATCATTATATCCGAAGGCAACATATTGGATACCTATGGTGGTTTAAAACACAAGTCTTTCTTGGAAAACTATAAAACTATGTCTCATTCAATCCTTAAATTCTGTTGCCATTTTCTTTTCTACTTTCCAAGCCATTCTCATTTAATTACAAAGGAAATTTATAAAAGTAATCAAACTCAAGCTTTATGCTTGGAAAGTGGAAGCCATACATAATTCTTTAGTTTAACTTAAA